TGCTTTGATCTTAAATGAATCTCATACAGAGATGTCTGAAACTTTTTAAAGAAAATGAACAAAAAAAATCATCAGAGGCTGTGAAGCCTCAAAAGGTATCTACTTAGACCCATTTCCTTATATATACACAATTCTATTTGTAAGCTCTTAGACTGTATCTTAGCTATCTATGGAAAAATCTCCTGCATTTAACTGTCTTATAAATACTGGAAAAAACATTTACAAATCATACTGTATGGCAAGGGTCTGACCTATGTCCGTTTTGAAGTCACCGGCACATTTGCCCTGGGTTTCAATAGGGAGAGGAGTATGCTCTAAGCGGAGATACAGGATTCTGTGAGGAAAAACACATTTCAGAAAATGGAATTCCACCTAGACTCGCTCAACTTAACATGATAAATACAGCAGAGGCATGACTGGCTGGGGTGAACAGCCACTACAAAAAGTCCAACAAACATAGTAATTGATGATTATTCAGAGTGAAGCAGCTCAAACGCATATTGCTCTTTCTCAAAGACAGTATTTGGCCCTTATATTCCTGTACCATTAACACTATTCCTTCTCTCTACTCTTAATTAATTTTAACAGTTTAACTTTTAATTGCAATTTTTTCTTTAAAAACTGTCAAGTTTTTGTTATCTGGAAATCTGCCTGTACAGCTTCAGAATCCTGAACACTTCTGTGGAACTATGGCCAAAAAATACCACTGAAACTTTAAAAAAATAAAAGTGAGTATCACAGCACTTAAAACTAGTTTTTAGCAGCTTAATTATATACCACCATATTCTGCTTGCAATGATTCTGTACCTCTAGATTCTTCCATCTGAGAAGTAACTGTTAATTTACTGCCAAACGGGTATTAGCCGCACGTGAGGAAACCAATCCTGGAAGAGAGTGTAAAGCCTTCCAGTAAAAATTAACCTTTCATCTAATTTTCTCTCTACTTAGTAGAAATGCGGTATAGAGAGGAAACTGGAAAACTACGTCTAGTGTTACGATGGAAAATTACAAGCTTAGTTACCTCCAAAAATAATGAGTTAGCATTAAAAATATTTCCATTCTGACCAATGTCAGCCTAAAGAAAAACTAATACAAAAAGGTTTTTTGCCTCCACACTTTTGCTGTCCTGAAATGTGAACCTCCTCGAAAACCTATGTCAGAGGAGGAAGGAAGATCCTCAGGGCAACACAAATCAAGTTTCCACAGTGAACTCTCCTTGTTTCTGGTGAGGACCATTTTGATTTAGATGACCTTTTTTTTCTTTTCTCTTTCAAAACCCACTTTTCCTCTGAGTAATGTTCTATCTCATACCTCAATCTTTCCACATTACGGCATGAGCATTAACACTCTACACGTGAACTACTACTCATATGTAAGTAATCAAGCTACTAAGTTTAAACTGTGTTCTGCCACCTTTTAACCCTTTTTCTCCACAAAGCCCCTTAATCACCAATTGGTAAGCAACATGCAAAGCTGCTGCTGCGACTGCAATGGATTTTAAAATTACAGAAGTAGAGAAAGTCAGGGTAAAACTTAATTTCAGATCTGGATAAAAACAACTGGGAAAATATTAAAGCAAGTCCTGCAATAGCAGAGTACCTGCTGATGTTTCCACAACATTACATTTAAATTTTTATGGAGGACTTTAATTGAACATCTTTATCATGAACTAAGTGCCTTTTTCGGCGAGTCCTAGAAGGCCAATCAATAAACCAGCACTTTTCATTCACTTCCATGGAATATTTGCACACGCAGAGTTTTGGGGAAAGAGCTGTATTTTTGTACAAAGAATACAGTATGCATTTTCTTATTTGTAAATGTCTTTTCCAGTTATTCTCTAAGTGCATTCAAACCAATATTCTGAAAGAGCCTGTGAAAATTCTTATTGTGCAGATGAAACGTGATTAGCATGCCCTAACAAAGAGAACATTATACTTTACATATTTATTAATAATCACTATAAACCACTGAGAAGTAACTTTCATACCTGGGATGGATATTTTACGATAGAAAAGCAAAATCTTACCAGAACGTCATAAGCTAACTAGTTACTCCTGCCTACTCTGGAACAATTTCTGGGGTTTGTACATGAGGCAGCATGTAATGCAGTAAGTAATGTAGCTATTTCTGTTTAGTGACTTGCTCCACTGTTTTTAAACTATGGATCTTATCACACCAAGCATAGGGCTTTTGGTTTTGTTTGGGTTTGGGTTTTGTTTATATTAAATGTAACATACTCATTTGTTAATTGAGGCTATTTCTTGCACCTGCAGAACAACTTAATTCAAAACGCTTATTCATAGGATTCGAAAACTAGTGATAAACTATAACTAATGTAACTTAGAGGGTTAATTGTTCTGAGATCTTGCAGAAAACTGTATTTATTGGATAATCCAGTCCAGATATGTATGGGGAATATTAATCACAAAATTATCACAGCTGATTTAACACCACGCTTCTGGGCAGTGTCAGCACAATCACTGCGGGCAACTCTGTACACTTCCAATACACTCTGACTTACACGATGCTGAGGCCTCGTGCTAACTCTTTGACTTGTCAGAGTTGTGAAAGGCTGAGTGTATTATTCGGGGTGTGTTACTGGAATCCCAAGCGAAGAACAGGAAATCAGCGAAGGACAGATCAGTCTTCAAGAAGACAACATCTTCTTTAACACTGTTCTCAGGAGAAAAAACGAAGATGCCCCAGAAGGAACTCACGACCCCAGCAAGGACTAGTTACATCACAATTCCAGATGTGTACACAATCTTGACTTATTTTTTATTTGTAAGATGAAGTCTCTTTGTACTGACTGACTGCACGATCTGCAGAACCAACGTACCTTTCGTTAACTGAGTACACAGAGTAAGCCATAAAAGCTCACTACCTCCCAGGGAGGTTTTACAACGTATTTATGATTTTGGTCATAAGTGCCCTTTGCAGGCACTTCAAGATGTGTTTTAGCATGGTATATACAACTCTGTATAATATTTACTTTTCCTGAGAAGTTTCTTTATTTTTATACCAATTGACTCACCTAATTTAATTATTTATTGCATTTTTGTGAATGGAATGTTCATACGAAGGCCTATGTGGTCTGATTTATTTATATGCCTGTGATATTAAATAATTTTCGCTAATACGATTTTCTCTCGTTCCTTTCTTTAAAAACTTCTGACCAACCCTACCCTGACAGTGGCCCATAAGACGCCTCAATGAACTTCGTTACCTTGCACGGTCACAGATTTTGTCAGATCAGATCAGGGACACATTATACAAAGTTTATTTTCCCCCTGTTCTTATATAACCATTAAGAGGAGGTCATTAACTTTTTATTGTTCTCATCTCATTTGAGTATCTTCTTTAAAAATTTTCAGCTTAAAAAATTCCTTTTGGCAAACTCACCGCAGGTTCAATCACATCACCCAGATTCCTTTAGACTGACACGAATAAATATCAGGTAACTTCATGTTTTGAGTCTACACAGAATAAAGTCAAAACATAACTCCAGAAGTAGCAATTATCCAGTCTGTTTTTCACTGTTCTCTCTCCTCATCTTACTTTTCTCTTGCTTTGAAATGTCAACCCTTTTTTGCATCCAAATTTGATAGCATGTATTGAAGTTCTCAAAAAATTAGTATTTTTAGCTATTATACTTTATAAGGGTAGCTATGTTTTATCTTTTATAAAAATGCCTTTTCCCTATAATGTAATAAAACCGGATTTTGTTCCGGCAAACAAGAACAAAGCTCTAACAAAAGCGAAGACTAAACAGTTGAGCAGCTATTCCTTCCCTTTTCATCTGTTCAGAAAACACTGACTCAAATAGTATCTCCTTCCATTATGTTCCCTGTCATCACGCATCTGCATTTGTCTGGCCTGATTTTCTTTAAAAGAAAAAAAAAAAATTCCTTCAAAAATGAATAAAAACAAACAGTACGTGTCATAAAACACTGGAGAACTCAGGCATAAACTGCTCCTACGCCCAGAACAGATAAGATGCGCAGGACGATGCTGCTATGATCTCTGTCCTATAAGACAAGCAGTTCTGCTCTGCCCAGCAGG